GAGGGAATTGTAACCATGGCAATGAAATGATATATGTATATATAGCTAATGTAAAGCTAATGTTCTCCTATGTAAACGAACACATAATTCACAATAATAATAAAAAAAGACAATGGAATGGCATATATAAAACTGAAGGAAGAAACAATTCAAACCAAGAATCGTATACTCAGCAAAATTGTTCATCAAATTTGATGGCAAAATAAGGTCATTTTCAGATAAACAGAAATTAAAAGAATTTGTTAAAACCAGACCAACCGTACACAAAATACTAAAGGGAGTTCTTTGGACAAAGAGGCAGTTACTGCAGACAGCAAGCTGAGAGTAACACGCATGAGAATATCACCCGGAAATAGTCTAAGTAAACTAGACCTACAAGACTGCAAATAGAGAACTAGAGATACAATTGTAACAAGAAACAGCCTATTAAGTGACAAGAGGTAGTAATGTGCATCTTTCAAGAGGAAATCAAGTAGATTTCAAGAAAAATGAAAGAAATAAAAATAAGTCTAACAGTAACCCTAAAACCTAGACCTTACTACTAGTCCTACTTCAATCTTTACCCATAGCCTTAACACTAAACTCTCTTATGCCTAGCCTAGTTATAGCCATAGTCTGAACCTTAACCCTCAGTCCTTATTCCCACCCACCCCTCCGAAAAACTGACCCCAAAAAAGTTAGATTAGATTATCATGAGTGAATGTTTTTCCAGAATTGTAACCAAGGATTCAGCATCAAATAAACAATGTTTGCTTTGTGAGCGTAATACAGTTATAAATGATTTAGTGATTTAATCAAATTATGTTCAAGGTACTGGAAAATAGAACTGAGGGAAAAAAACAAAAGCTGCCTTAGATTTTTCCCTCTCCTCTCTTACTTCACCAGCAGATTGATCCACCAAAACTACGTTAGTAGTAAATCAAAGTTCTTCCAATTGGAAATAATAGGTGCACTTGAAATTCTGGTTTTTATGTTTTATAGTCATAGGAAGTGAAATTTTGTTACAGCGGTTAAAGCAATTGGTTAGCTATAAGGTTCTCAGATTTTTCAAGAAGCATCTTTAAATATTTTAATAATTACAAGAAATGGGCTGTCTTTTGTGCATGTGCTTATAACTTGTACTTTATTTGCTTGAGTAATTTAAGTCAACGAAATGATGACATTTCTTTTTCTAATGAAAATTGACAGCAGGGAAGAGTAATCTTGCAGGACTTTTAAGCTGCTTTGCTCAGTAAATGTTGAGTGAAGATACGTGTTAATTTTGAAGTTAAATTAGCAATGCATTTAAAAATGGTTATAGGTGGGTAATGCATGTTTGGTAATTTTAAAGAAAAGTTTTTTATTTTTATATTAAGAAATCTATATATGGGTAGCAGTTAGATGATTTTCAGCAAATTGTGCCAAGTGTCTTAACTGAAAATAAATCTAATGTATGGCACTGTATGATACGCACTGGACTGCTAACCACCAGGTCCGCAGTTTGAGCCCACCAGCCTCTCCTTGGGAGAAAGATGAGGCTATCTGCTCCCAGCAAGGATGCACAACCTCGTAACCTAAATTTATTAGGATTGTGAGTCGGAACCGATTGTATGGCACGTAATAACAACAACAATCGCTTAATAAAATGTTGAGTTTGAATATTGGGCTAGGAATTTCCAGGAGCCTGGAAAATTTTAAAGGTCTTAAAACCAATTGTTTTAGTATATTGTTAGTGTAGGGTAATGTGTTTATCACCTATTTTACATTTTTAAATTTCTGTAACTCAATATAGTAAGATAAAGAACAATTTCTAGAAACGTGTGTTGTTGTTAAAATGTCTGGTGTGGTTATTTATTGATATAAATTGTCATTTCATTCTATTAGACAGTCCCATCAAGCTCCAGGAGTGGGAGATTGCCTTCGACAGCAGTTGGGGTCTCGTCTTGCCTGGACTTTAACGTCAAACCAGCCTTCTTTACAAACCACTACCTCCAAGGGCATTCCAAACACTGTTTCTCGCAACATAGCAAGGACAAGGAGAGAAGGGGATGCCAGTGGTGAGAAGAGAGATGTTTTGTTTTTTTCAATGTTGGGATATGTTTTTAAATGGTGTTTTTATTTGAACATTTAGAGTTCATACTTACTCCCTTTTGAAACACGGATAATGGAATCCCCACCTCAGACCTTTGAGTGGTTTCTTATTCTTGTGATGCTGATGTCCACAATCCTAAATAGGTCTGTGATGCCTTCGGAGTCTGTCTTTATCACTTTGTCACCCTCCCTATGCTCTCAGAACTTGAGCAGGAAATCCCCTTCCACTTTGTTCCTGTTGTTTTCTCTGCCTGAAGCATCCTGTTGTTGTCTCTTTCTTGTCAACTTTCCCCTTCCTAACTTTCATTCTGCCTTTTGTTACCTGGGAGAGCATCTCCAGTCTGTGGTCGTTAAGTGCTGACCCACAGCAAGCCTCTATAAGGTTTCCAAGGAGCAGCTGTTGGCTGTCCATTTCTTACCTTACAGCATCACCCCAAGACTCCAGTCTTGCTTAGGGTCCCCTATTAAGTACTATACGTCCTTCTGAGAAACCCTCTAACAGGGTCACTGTGAGTCAGAACCAACTCCATAGCACGTAACCACCACCAAAGTCCTAAGTTCTACGGTGGTAGGAACCGTTTCTGTCTTGCTCGCTGTGCCAGTACCAAGTACAATGGCTAACACATATTGACAAAATTCAGTAAAGATTTATTTGATGAATAAATGAACCACTCATTGGAAGTTTTAAAGCCCTGTTAAATTCTAGAAGGACGTTTGAGGTATTTTTTATTATTTTGAGACTATTTAAATAGTAATGTGTGAAACATTAATACCTTAAAAGTAGAGTGGACCTGATTGTTCTTTCTAATTTACTGACTCTGAAAGTCCTCTAGATGATTCTTTTGTTGCTTCGATTGCAAAGAGCAACAAGAGTGTCTTTTGGAATTGTGAGGGAATCCTAGAGCCCTTAGCCCTCAGCCAGAAGTCATATGCCTACCCCTCTGTGTAGCTCACACTTACCAGCCTTTACCTGCCTATACTAGCAAAACTATTTGTCATTTACAGCAGCTATGAATTCTGGGTTTAGAATGTCAGTGTCTGCACTGAGCCACAGTACTCTTTTCAGCTTTTATCTTTTGGTTTTCCATGACTCCTGATCGCTAACCAGTGTCTTCAAATCTGTAGTTCGTATAGAGCTAAGGCATACAGTGGGCTTACATACTTGGCTAATGCAAAAGAAGGCAGGGGAGGAAGTACCAATGAAGAGAGAACAGGTGGGATAATAGAGAACATATGATAGTAAGGAAGATTCTAACCAAGACAGCGCAGTAATTTCATTGACTGTCAATAGATTCAACTCTTTGCTTCAGAGGCAGTTTTTGTTTTGTTTTTCAAAAAGATCTGTTCAGATAACTACATGATGTTTATAAGAGACACATTTTAAATATAAAGCTATGGATAGGTTGGAAATAAATGAAAGGAAAAGAGCTGCATTGTGCAAACACTGATCATAAAAAAGCTGATGGGCTAAATTAATATCAAAGTAGACTTGTGAGACACGGAATAATAACAGGGATAAGGAAAGAAATTTCACAACCGTGAAAAAGTCAAGTATTTTGGAATACATAATAACTTTAAATGTGTGTCCACTGACCAATTTCAGATTGTACAAAACTGACAGAATTGGAAAGGCAGACAAACCCTTAATTATTGAATATTCAAACATTCTGTTTTTTAGTAATTGATTTTATAAAGTAGACGAAACAATCAATAATGGCATTTGAATTGAACAAGAAGAAATTTGGTATAATTGATATGTATAGGATAGTATTCCCAAACCTAAAACTGGCTGTCATGCCATTGACAGTTCACAATCCCCCGGTGACTGAAATACAGATTATCTATTGCTTCTGACCATGCTGGCTTGGCTTGGTTGTATGAGTACTGATTCCCTGACAAAATACTCTGGCCATGTTTCTCTCCCCTCACAGTGTCTTGGGTTTCTAGACTTTGCCTCTTCTTTGTCTTGGTCGAACACCCAAATTCTAATGTTAGTTACAAGGAGTTACGGAAACTATAAGCATCTCTCCTATGGCATAAACTTCTTTGGAGAAAGAAGTATTTTAATAGCATTTTCAGGTTATTGTGAGTCTTTTGGGGTGGTTTTTGAAAGGCTAATTGCAGTGTGGAATCTGCAACCATATCAGTGACCTTTTTGTGCTCTTTTACATTGGTCTGTCTAGAACTTTGAAAAAAATTTGTGAACCTTGCACAGCTTTGTAACATCATCAGTGGTCATTTGAAAAGTGTCAATAATTGAGTTATACACATTTTCTAGATAAGGGCTTTAAAAAATTCATGGAGAGATTGTACTCTAATTTTTCCCCATACTTTTTGAAGTCACCTCATATTATATATACTCGTTGTTGTTGTTCAGTGCCATCGAGTTGGTTCTGATTCATAGCGACCCTATATAGGATTTCCGAGGAGCAGATGGTGGATTTGAACCGCGAACTTTGTAGTTCAAACCAACCTTGAGGTCGAGTGCTTATGCTATGGCCCCACACCAGGACTCCCATACACTGTTGAAAAATCACAATAGGAAGTTTTAAAATACTGATAACAAATTATGACAGTTATTTTTCCTGAAGTCACAGTTTCACTTTAGAGAACTGTCTCCCAAATACTCAAGTGTGAATAACCACAATTTGTCAGTCATTCAGATAAAACCGAAGTCTCACTAAAAAAATGGTTCTTTAGTTTGCAGTTCACTTCCTTTACTTCAAGACAATTATTATACACGCTTTGTCTTCATTCCATCGCAAACTGGAGACATGTACTCAAGTATGAAGATTTAGTGACATTTTTAAGTGAAACTGGCCTTTTCTTTTTTGTTGATATTTTGAGTTTGCAATGATGAAGAATGCAACAACCACTAGTGTAGTGTGGTATCGTTTTCTTGGTCTGTGTTAAGACTCCAGCGGTTTTATCCACCATTGCTTTTGCAATGTCAGTACGATTGTTAGCACAGTGAAAAAGGCAGATGAGAGTTTAGCATTATTATGAAAATTGTTTTGATCTTGTGAAGCTCTTTAAAGGACCTTGAGGGCCTACAGTCCACAACTTAACTTCTAGGGAACTAGATAGTTTGCCTTTTACTGTGTGGTGATGGTGGTGGTGGTATGTAGCGACCGTTTATAGGGTTTCAGAGGCTGTAAATCTTTACGGGAGCAGAAAGCCTCATCTTTGTCCCACAGAACAGCTGGTAGTTTCAAACTGCTGAATTTGAGATTTGCAGCCCGATTCATAACCACTACGGTACCAGAGAGAATGGGTAATCACAAAGCCAGTTTTTCCAAAAACTATCTATTAAAATAATCTTACCTGCGATAATGCTAATGATACAACCTTGCTTGCTGAAAGTGAAGAGGACTTGAAACATACTTATGAAGATCATAGAGCACAGCCTTCTATATGGATTACATCTCAATGTTAAGAAAACAAAAATCTTCACCACTGGACCAATAAACAGCATTCTTATCAATGGAGAAAAGATTGAAGTTGTCAAAAGGACTTCATTCTTCATGGATCAACTGTCAACACTCGCGGAAGCAGTGGTCAAGAGATCAGACAACGTATTGCATTGGGCAAATATGCTGCACAGGAACTTTTTAAAGTATTGAAGAGCATAGATGTCAGCTTGAGGACTAAGGTGCGCCTGACCCAGGCCATTGTGTTTTCAATAGCCTCATATGATGCGAAAGCTGGACAGTGAATAAGGA